CGCGTGAAAGGAGGGCGCGGGGGTGCGATCGGTGTTCAGCTGCAACGCCACCGCCGCCGCGCGAACCGGGGGGATCGCGACCCCGACGAGCGAAAGGGGCAGCGTCGTTCGCGCGACCCCACAGCCGCGGAGGGTGTGGAGGGGGGGGGCCTTCGACCCCCCGTTTCCCGTCGCGAAGATCGCGATCGCCTGGAGGTCGAGCGAGGAGGGCGGGAACTCCCGCGCGGCGGCCTCGAGGCGGACCGCGAGGGGGATCCGCATCGTCGACCCCGGCCGAGGGGCGTCGAGGGTGAGGAAAGGCGGCTCCACCACGAGCGGCGGGGTCGTCCTCAGCCACAACCGCACCTCCCCTCCTCCTCCTCCTCCCTCTCCCTTTTCCCCTCCCCCTCCCCCGATTTCCCCATCGGGCAGGCGGAGCAGCAACGAAAGGCGCGCGGCGGCCCCATCCAGCGGCCCCTCCGCGGCGTCAAACGTCAGGGGGATCGTGAAGACCGCCTCGACCGCGCCGGGGCGGGGGCTCCCCCCCCTTCCCGGACGCGGCATCCACCGAGGGCCACTCCATCGAGGATGCCGCGGCCTCGCTAGGGGGGGGTTTCCCCGATTGAATCGCCTTCAGGCGGCGCTCCACCTGGCGAAGTTCCCCTCGCATCTCGGCGTAGCTCCTCACCTGGGCTTCGAGAACGGGCGCGGGCCGGCGGGAGGCGGGATCGGTTCCCAAATAACTCACCCCCAGCACCCCCTCCCCGGTGAGCGAGAGGATCATCCCGTCGATCCCGGCGAGTTTCCCGACGTGGAGGGCGAGCGGCGCCCCGCCGGATCCCAACCGCGCGCGCCATTCGAGCACGCCATCCGAAAACACCCCCACCGATCCATCCCACCCCCCGACGAGGACGTTATGAAAGCGATTGGAAAGCGGAAAGGGGTGCAGGCAGGCCGCCTCGGTGGTGAGCGGCCGCCGGTAGCAACAGCGCCCGTCGAGGGAAACCACGCAGAGGGTGAAGGGGCCGAGCACGACGATTTCGACCGCCGTCGCGTCGAGCCCGCGGCTGAGGCGACACACCGCCACCGCGAGGATCTCCTCCCCGAGCGGAAAGCCCCAGGACGGGGCAAGACGTCCCCCTGCGGAGGCCGCGTTGCCCTCCGACTCCCCTTCCGCCGCGCTCGTGAGCCTCGCGAAAGGATAACAAAGCAGGTGGAGGGAGGCGCTTCCCGTCAGAAACGAATCCCGCGCCGCGCAGTAGGTGAGGCAGCCGGGGGCGACGAACCCATCGCGAGGGAGGCTGCACGCGCAGAGAATTCGCCCGCGATCCACGACGCTCCACCGCCCGTTCATCCCCTGCACGCACAGACGATCGTAATCGACCCCGCCAAACGGACCGGTGGTGAAATTGTAGGTGGGGTGATCGAACTCGACGGTAAACACCACGGGGCAGCGGTAATAATAGGTGGCGGAAATCAGACTCGCTTCCTTTTCCTCCCCAGGCTTGGATTCGTCCCGCCCTTCACTCCCCCCTCCTCCACACCGCTCGATGCACAGGAGGCGTAATTTGTATGGGAAGAGAACCGCGAGAAGGTTTCGACGAACCCCCGGCGCGAGCGGCTCGAAGGAGCCGTAGGCGATTTGAAGAATCGGCTCACCCAGGCGTTGCTCGAAGAGTAAATCCTCCGGCGACGGGGTGTCCAAGGTGGGGGAACTACTGGGTTGAAAGAGACGAAGCATACCCTGGAAGGATCCGATGGCGATTTTATTTTCAGCATCTTGGTTGTCTAGATCCCCGACGGCGATGCAGGAGGGGGAGAATTCCTCTCCGGGAAAGGATTGGCGCCAATAATCGCGCAGCTGAAATAACGACCCCATCTCAGCCCGTCACGTGGGATCGTCTACTGGTATAGCTATCTCTAATAATAATGGTAATGAAAAGGGATTCCTACCTACGTGTTGCTCCTGTCGCGCGTGGAGAAGTGAGACCATAAATAATAGCAAGAAAAAAAAACATTCCGTCCGCACATTGAATCGCAACAACAACAGCAACCCAAATGTATTTCATGACTGCAATGCGAATGAAGACATGAGAATCAATAAAAGGGTTAGATTATAAACTTATAAACTTGAAAAACATCGTCTCAGTCTCCCTTTTGGTTATCAACTTAAAGAAATTGAGATAAAATCAGCCCATAGAACATTTAGCAAAAAAAAAAAAGATAGTTTGTGCGTTTCCTAACGAAAATGTTAATATTTGCGTCCATGAATTCACTAATACTTAATATCAATATAGATACATATATATATATATATATATATATGCATAACATCTTCAATTCACGTAATAAGTAAATAAATAACAATCGTCTATATTCTACCTTCATAAGAACAATGACAGCACCCTCAACAAACAATACATTTCCGCGTAACCCCTTTGAATACCTCCCCAAGTTACGCATCCAAGATACATAGGCTGAACCGACTGAAGAATCACGGCTCAATGGAAGTTCTTTTTAAAATCATTCAAACACCACACCCAAAGGAACCCACTCACCTACTAGATTCTAGATTTAAACGATCCGATTAATCCTTTTTTTCATCATTCCCCCACCCCCAATCCTTGCCGTTCTTCGGACTCCCCCCCTTCCCAGGAAGCTCCGTTTGGGCGTTAGCTCTTGGCGAAAAACCGGATTCCCCGCGTGCGGCCTCCGCGTTCGGTGGGGGGCTGCTCCACCCCGTCGCCACCCCCTGCCGTGGCGACGACGACGACGAGGGGGAGAACGGGGTGAACTCGACGTGATCGAAGCGCCCCGGGGCGTTGGGGACGGTTTCCTGCCCCGCCCTCGCCTCCTTTGCGCGGCGGAGGATCCCGAGCAGGCCGTCGTCGTCGTCGGCGTGGGTTGCCTGGATCTCATGGAGCTTCCGCTGGACCTCCTCCGCGTAGCCGGCGACCGTCGTCGAGAGCTCCGACCACCCCTTCGCGA